TGGTAAGAAATTTGTCAACAGGATATAAGCAGTAAGGTCAACATTGTACTTAATGTGCTTTTTAGGCAGTAGATGTTAGACTAGATCACAACACATATTTAAAAGTCTAAGAAGGCCCTCTTTCCAGAATGGTCTTTCCTTTTGGAAAAAAGGAAGCTGCATTAAGTAAAAGTGATGCTTTAATTTAAAAGGAAGAAAAAAAAACTATGACAGTCACACTACTGTTCAAGAAGACAAAACCTGCGAAAACCGGAATCCACACACAATGTCAAGTCAAAGAGAACAGGTCTAAGGATGGCAAGCAGTCCATTCACCGGGCTCCCTCTGTTGTCTCTTAAGCATTGGTGACATTTCCAAACTTTGAAACCAGATGTGATTCTAATCCTCACCCTACCAATATTTGCAATCGGTTTCAAACACCGACACAGAATACATAATTCCCGGTGACCTTAAAGAAATAAAAAGAGATGACCTGCCAGAAATTAATAAATGAAAAACAATGGGGATGTGCAAATAACTTTGAGTTGCTGAAGTTATCCTGACCACACTTCAGCTCACCACAACGACACAACGGTCAACTGTGGTCAATTTTATCATCAGATATGGAAAATAATAAACAGAAACATTTTTAAAAGCTCAAGTATATAAAATTAGGCAATGTTTACTACATAGTGTAAACATCCAATAAATGAGAGTGAATACGATCATTTTTATAACTTACTAAAAAGAAATATAGATTCTATTTCACTTCACTGCACAATTGAGCTAAAAACTTCCCATACTATTATGATGAGCATATTAGCATGAAGAATACTAAAAACCTTGATTTTTAAACAAAATCATGACTGGGCTGGCCGAGTGGCACTTGGTTAGGAGTTGGCTTGGGACACCAGCTCTGAGCAGCAGGGCCGCCAGTTCAGATCCATGAGGGCCAGTGACGCTGCGCCCTCTACAGCTAAGATGGTGAACAACAGCTCGACCTGGAGCTGGGCTGCCATGAGTGGCTGGCGACAGCATAGGCTGCAGTAGGGCTGCAGTGGGCTGCCGTGAGATGCCATGAGTGGCCAGCAGCTGGTGTGAGCGGCCGTCCAATGGCCGGCAACTGATCTGCCTCAGCCGGGAAGAGCACAAAGATCACAATACCAACATGGGCCAGTGAAGCGACGTCCTCCACAACTAGACTGAAGAACAAAAGGACAGCAACTTGTCTGTTCCCCTTCCCCAATTCCCCAACGCTGATCCCCTCCCCCAATAAAATCTTTTTAAAAAAATCATGACAACAACAATACTTTCCCCACATGGTTATCTAGATTTTTGAACAATATGTATTTCAATATATATGGTGCTAACACTTCCCTACTATGATTTATAAGAGTTTTCCCAATTTCTCCCTGCTTTGTAGTCTTACAAAATCAGTTTTGCTTATTTTACTCTTTCCATTTATTTTTTTTCGAGTCATGAAGGCGTTCAGAACAGGCCTCCCCAAGATGTGATGCTTTGGAATGAGGATTATTTTGAGCTCAAGGCAATCAAGACCCTGAGGGCTCATGAGAAAGAAACTTTTACTTCTCCCTTAAAGAATTTATATTGGGTGACTTGCCCATAATGAGTTATTCAAAAAATAACTTTTTATGACATATATCTATAGGGCAGGGAAAACTTCTAATTACTAAACATCTACTCCTTTTATCGTCCTATGAATGACCTTCCTACCTCTGTGAAACCCCAAGGTGCCTGACCTCATCCTTAGCTCCAAATGCCATACACACATCATTGTCCCTTTCTGTCTCTGACCTTCTCATGTATGTGCGGTCTCTGGCTCTCTCGTTTATGTGGGGTTCTCATACATATGTATGTAATTACATTTGGTTCTTTTCTCTTGTTAATCTATTCCATGTCGACTTAATTTTAGACCAGCTAGAAGAACCTCAAAGGGTAGAGTTAAATCTCTTTCTCCCCCACAATCAGAACAAGCAACCAATTTGGGGTAGAGAAAGGGAGACAGAGGCAGTGAGCTTTCGTCTAAAGCCACCGGCTGTTCTTCAGGAGGCAGGAAACAGCCTGGCCCACTCCACTTGTAAGAGAGGTTTCACTCTTGTGTGTTGTTGTTCAGATTTTTTGAAATTGACTGTATAAAAAGTGTGGATTATCCCTTTCAAAGCTGATTACACTTTACATGAATGCTCTAAAGATGTGATTCAGTGTTACTCCAGTTCCTGAGAAGATTTACATGAAGAAACGTTTTATAAGCATAGCCTACTACTGTTTAACAATATCCTTTGTGAAGTGCTTAGTAAAAGTAGGAGCTCAGACGAGATGGTCACCAGTGTCTCCAGCTGTAACACTCTGTGATTCAACCCATACTTACTGAGAGCCTCCATGTTGCTAAGTGCTGCACACTGTGATGGGCATACAGAAATTAACACAACAGGCATGCTCTCCGTCATGGGGTCAGCAAGACAGAGAAAAGTGTAAATGTCACACTGTCAATCAGCAGCTTGAGGTCAAGTTTGCCATCCTGTGCAATGTTGTATTTTCACTGCCTGACAATGCTTAGCATATCGTAAGTGTTCAATCAATATTGTGAAAGAGTAAGAGTGAACGCAAGGTGCCATGGGACTTAGCCCAACCTGGAGATGTGATGAAGATTCAACCTGTATATTCAATTGCTCTCTCTGGTCATCATGCTATCGTTGCTAACTATAGCACTGATGCTTTTCTAAAAGCCCAGGGGCGTGGCAGTGCTATTCAGTTTCTGAACTCAGAGTCCTTATAAAGTGATTACTGTTTGAGTAGGTAAGGTTACTTTCAAGGGAAACTATTCCCATACTTCTGCCTGTAGTTATTCAATTTAAAGGGCCAGTGACCTGAAGCAAAACAATTTATTGGAAGGGGACAGAAACACTGGAAAGATCATCTTGTACAAAAAATCCTATACTCGAAACAGAATCATGGTTCTAATTTTAAAACAGAATCAAGTATCTCACAATAAAATATCCTCTTCTGAAACTGCCAAAAGAGTAGAAAAAATATTAAGTAGGCATCAGAATTCATATAACACTCATACATATGATTAGTATGCATTTTGTTATTTTTTAGAAGATCAAACCTCTCAATGTGTGACAAAGGAGTCTTCCAAAGTAAGAATAATTTGAGCAATAGTTCTAACATTGTAATTCATTAATTTGGAGTTTTTAACCAACTCAATTCAATATTCTAACTTTTTTTCTAAAATAAATTGCTGTAAATTTTATTTGCTTTTTTTAAATACAATATGCGAAGTTGTAACCCCATACATTTTAATATAATTTTGAATCCCCTTGTAGACAAACAGTCACACTTTAATGCCCTTTAAATAAAGAAGAACCACTCATCTGTAACATACAGATACAGAAGGCTCTGGATTTTCATTTTAAAGTGCTTAATTACCTGCATAAAGAAAGAAATAACATAAAGAGTCTAGGCCAAGTTCATGTGGGTTTGAAATTACTGTTCTTTTTCTAAATGAGCAACAAAGACTCCTCAATGGTGCAAGCTATTATGTGGCCACAAGCCAACTGTAGAAGAAAATGTTTAAAAGGACAAGGGGATCAGGAATTAAATTCAAATATATGAGGCAAGAACCAAAATCAAAAATTGAAAAATATAGGTGGTGTTTCCAGCCACAGGACAACATAACATATTTGAAAGAAAAATCTAATCAGCAATAAAGTTAAATCTTCACATTAAGTATCCCAATGCGGGCAGTTATGTAATCTAAGGTTATTTTTGAGGATTTCCTGCATCCAAACACCATCAAACTTATGTTTCAAATATATCTATTTATGAAAGTACTCAGCATCACTAAAGGACCACACAAAACACAGTATTCATTAATGAATCCAAAGACTGAGAATGAAAAAAAATCTTTTTCACATCAATCTAAATTGCCATTCTCAAGTAATTTGAGCTTAATACTATAACTTACAAGTTAGGAAGAAAAGAAAGCATATCAGAGACGAAAAGGCAATAGATTTAACCTTGAAACAAGGTGACTGCCAAATAGTTGCTGAAGGAATTTCCTTATTATCAGATAAAGAATTTACAGTATTTATTCCCTCTAGAGATATAAAATAGTGAGTCAATCTGCAGTTCAAGATATTTACTTAAACCCAGAGGAGGAAGATATTGCTTCAACTTTTGAAAACCAAAATAGAAAAAAAAAAAAAGCTCTAATGTAGTTTATCTTTAGGCATCAGATTTAACAGATGTAACATTAAACAATTCAAGCTAAATGCTATTTCTCAAGTTCTCCTTTCATATATTTCTGTAATTTACATGAATATACTGTATGTAAAATGGGAATTTAAACCCATTTATCAGAAAATGCTTAATGATATCTATAGCTAGCTATTACAATTTAGTTAGATACATAATCTACTGATCAATTTGTATATACATCAATCCATGTATCCATTTTATCTTTCACAATATTTTTAATCTACTGATACTAGTCATCCTCTGATTACCCTTGAAAATGCATATGTGTCCTCAGAAAAAACCTGCACACACACCAAGAAAAAATACCTCTGACCAAAAAACATCTTCTGTTGATCATTTCCTTTATGCAAATATTACATAAGGAGATTCTTTGTTTTGTTTTGGGTCTAATCAAGCCTCACAATACTTACCTTCCATAACTTGTGGGCCTTCAGATAAAATTCTTCTTAGAGAAATAGCATTGTTTTCTTATAGAATTGTTCCCTTGCCTCCTCTATCTGGTTCAAAACATCATGAACTAAAATGTATGCTGCTAATATAAAAACAGCCTATACGCAAATTCATCCAGACAATGTGAATAGATTGGTAAATTTATCACTAACCACATAGTAATTAGACAGGCAGGCAGACAGACAGGCAGGCAGGCAGGCAGACACACACAGACACACAGACACACAGACACACACACACACACACACACAGAAAGTAACAAATAAACAAAATGCTTAAATAAAGGATATTGTCATCTTTTCCACAAACTTATCATGTCGATCTCCTGTTTCAGGGAATTTCTTGATGTCACTTTCCAGACGAACAATTTGTTGTTCCATTGCTACAAGGTTGCTCTTCAGAATTTGAGCTGAAACTAAAGAACAATGTGCAAAGTGTTTAGAATATTTTACCAGGTATATCAGAAAAAGGTTAAAATAAAACAGTAGCAGTTAAAGTAGTTTTTTTTTAATGTGGAAAAGAGTTCCAAGAAGTCAACTCACATTTTTCTGAATTACTGCTCATAAAAATTCTACTCTCCATGAAACGAGTGAAAATGTGTAATATAATAAACCAAATCATCATGTTTAATATGAAAATGTCACCATTTTATACAGCCATTAGTTCAAATGAATCTATTTCTATTTCAATTTATTGATGGAGTTCCTAATATTTCATTCTTTAAAATCTAATTTGAAGATTAAAGAGAAACTAAGGTTCAAAGAGATCTTATTTTATTAATGCATGTTCTTGACTATATAAATGATTTAAGGTTAAATTACATAAAAGATCAAATATTTTTCTTCTGTTGAAATACCTTGATTTTTATAAACCAACATTTATGGTAAAAGTTCCATTCTCTAGTCCTTTTCATACAGAGATGTGAAAAATAACTTGACACATAAAGAGAATTTAGAGCAAAACCCAGCAAACAATATGTGCATACACACCCACAAAGCTTCCAAGTGCCCTCAAACACTATCATTACTTCCTTTAATTACCCCTGACATTCTCTGCACTTTTCTTTTTCTCTCCTCATTGACAACCAATAATTTTAAGTATTTTATTCAAACTGCTCCTAAATAACATGCACACTTTCCAGATATCCCATGATGCCTTCTTTTCACAGAGGTACTTTTTTTAAACTAATACTATTTTATAGATACTCTATTACTACATGACTGCAGTTATGTACAAAGACACTTCTATCAATATCCATAGCATTTGGCAGGGTTCTAGTTGAAAAGACAAGGTAAGTGTTAGCATTTGATAGGTAGCCGGTGACACTGGCTCTTAAATCCAGACCTCTGAAACACTGTTCTTTTCATTAAAGAACTGTGAAACAGAAATAGAATAATATTACAATTCTTTTTTTAAAGCAAATTCGTTCAGAGGCATATCAGACTTACAATGAAAAATTCAAAAGACTGACAAAATCAACCTCCTGGCAAATTTTGACCAAACTCTCCTGGTACAAATTCCTTATACTGACCACACACCTTTATAACTCAACCAGGAGAAACTGCCTTAAATAGACATGCAAGTTCAAGAGACTGAAAATCAAACACCAACACTAAAGACAAATTTTTTCCCCCTAATTAATCTATGAGTTCAAATGGCTCTGTTCAATTTAGGTCCATTTGTTTAGATCCGAAAGCTTGGAGATTTTTTTTTTTTGAAGAACTCTAAGAAAGTTTTGTCTTGCCCCAAATTTTCTCCTGGCTTAGCAATCATTGCTTGCTTTATTTAAGGGAAGTTTGCTGTGGAGGAAATCATTCTGACTTTAAAACTGATTTTTTTTTCCCTTCTGAATTTTTTTCCCTTGGGTTTTTGGCTTAATTCTTGCTAAGTATTCAAAAGATTTCTCTTTTCCCATTTGCTTGATTGAAAAACTGAAGATATGAAATTGAAAAGTTGTTTATGTCACTTAGGTTGCACGGAAGAAATAAACTCATGATAACTTTCTGCAATAAACAAAATGCACCCAAAGGTCAGGTTTAGGTCACAAGAGTAATCCTACTAAAAGCAACAGTAATTCCAGCGGTAAAAAGAAGAAGATGAGGAGGATTCATCTTTTGATTGTTCAATACTGAAACAGCCCCAGCAGGTTGCTATGCACACAGAAGTCTAGATATTTCAAATAACAAGAGACAATATTTTTAATCCAGTGAAATTGCTTTTTACCCTAAAGTTAAATTCTGAATAAAACAATATTTCCCAGACATCTGTCTTCCTCAATTTCACATATCAAATCTTTAGTCCTGTATAAATCCCTCCAGAGCTCTAGTCCAAATTCTCTACCATTTACAGGCACTTTTGTTTGTTCAAGTGATTTTCCACGTTACCTTCTGCTTTGAAAGAGAATGATTTTTTTTCATGTACATAAACACAGATTCTCTGCTATAAAACCTCAAACTACTTAATGGTAAGATCCATACCTAATTCTTTGCTTTTCCCTCAGTACTTAACACAGACAGTACTCAATATATGTTTGTTGATTATGTATATTTGAAGAAGTTTCCATTCAGATTTAAAGTGATGCCCATTTCTGCCACTGAACATGCACGTAGAGGTTGGCTATCCTCATGATTATATCAGTTGTGATTATTATCAATTATGATGTGAGTAGGAAAAGGCAGCAGAAAGTGGAAGTCTGTCTAATTTTATGTAGAGGAGGCCGGATTGCAGGAGAAAGTGAGGAACTGGGATAATGAAGAGAAGTATTGTGCTCCTCTCTTCTTCCTCTGTAATGAATTACTAGTATTATGCATGAACAAAAAATAATAAAATACTGGAGCTGGAATAATCCAAGGATTCTAGCCCACATGCCTAACTGAGGCTGCATTAAACAAACAGTACCATTACAGAAAATGTATATCCTTAAACTGGTAGAATTATGGCTAGATGTGGCATATAATTATGGCCTTATAGTTAGATGTGGCATTGAAGGGGATTTAGACCAGCCTCTCAGGTTTTAAAAACTCCAGTTACACAGTGTCATCGCCTACATTCCTAGAACACAGACCCTAAGACAAAGCTTGCAAGTGAAAGTCTTCCTGGGAAAGAGGGTGGGGTGTAATCCCAGGGACACAGGCAGGAGGAAAAAGGGAAGAAAGTAAATACAAGAGAGTAAGTGACTGAACTGGCCACAGCTTTACAAAAACTACAGCTGGTTGCTTAGTATCTCAGGTTGTCTCCATCAAGGCCAACGTCATGGGCACGTGACCTGTGCAGTCGCACAGGGCCCCAGGCTTAGAAGGGCTCTGCCCTTTGTTTAACGCTTTGTTGTGGTCGTTTGGAAATTCTCAGTCATGTATTAAATGGGGCCCTGCAGTTTCATTTTCCTTTGGGTCCCGCTGATCATGCAGTCAGTCCTGGTCTCCAGATAAGGCAAATAAATCTGGTTCCTTCTCTGTTCTCTCACTGGCGACACTCTCTTTCAGGGAGTGATAACTTCCCACTCTGGCTGGGGAGCAACACGAGGGGTCCAGGCTCGCAGGTGGGGGATGGCACAGAAGGGGACCCAGTGACTCTAAGGCGGTACATAAACTAGATTCAGAACACAGGAGGCACTCTATCCGAAGCGGCTGTTCCCTTGTCACCAGTGGATCCATCTTTGTTTCCTTATAATCAAAATCAGCCTACTTGAACTCTTCTTACTCATCAAGACCTCACGTTGCCTTGCAGCCACACTGATCACGTCTACGCCCTAACTGACAGGAAAGGCATCTCTAGCATTTTCTTCATCTTCTCAGGCTACAAACAGCCAGTTCCTTCAACCAGTCCTCCGAAGGTCTACAGGTGAGTCATTAAGTCATAACTAACATTTATTGGATATTTAAATAATAACTAACATACACTGGTTATTTAACTAACTCTTAACTAGCTCTTAAGTAATAACTGTATAATATTTACTGAGTATTTACCTTGTGCTCGACATTATTCTAAGTAGATTTATGTATTAACTCATTTCCTCCTCACCAAACTCTATGAGGCATATTCTACTATAATGCAGGGGTGTGATGTGAGCCGAATTATGTGTCCTCGGGAAGCTGTAAATGTAAAAACAGCGTCTCTAATACCTGGAAGGCCAGGAGGTTGAAATAAAATTTGCATCCATTGGCACAAAGGCAAGTCACTTATATCTGAGGACAGGCATGTTCTTAGGAGTCAGATGGGTCTCGGTGCTAATCTCTGCCCTACCACGAAGTAGTGGGGCCAGTAGCTGAGCCAATCGGGGTTATCATTTCCCAATTTGCAAAGTGGAGATAATAAGACCTTCCTTAAAAGGCAGCCACTCGAGTTGAATGCTTTGACAAATATAAAGTTTCTATCATTACACCTGGTACATAATAGGTAATCTAATAAATATGCATTTCATATTCCACTACCCTTCCCCTCTATACTCTACCTCACAACAAATTCCTACTGTTAATGTGCCACCAAGAATTACAGAACAATTTAGATGTGATCTGAACAACAACAAAAAAGCACTGCTTACCTGCTACCCTACTGTGGCCTGATTGAATTTAGTATCTGTCTTTTTTCTAATCAAGAGAACGGAACTTAGATTGTGTTTTGTTTGTAGGTTTCACAGGGTACATGGAATTTTAAGTCTGGGAGCCAGTGACAATTATACTAATGAACAGCCAAGTTGTTAGAGATATTAGCCAGTTCCAAATTTAAAGACTATTTCTGGAAATTAAAACCTGTAGTCTTTATTTCTCTGGAGACATTGTAAAATTAGTCATTTGGGACTTCTAGACCTGTCTAAAAACGGATTTTTAAAGAAGTGTTATTAAAGAATTAACATGCCTGATTATTTGCCTTGAATCATTTTCAGAATCAATATTGATTAGTTAACTATTAGGTCCTAGCCTACATTACTTCTAATATTTCTTGAGTGTGTGTGTGTGTGTGTGTGTGTGTGTGTGTGTGNGAGAGAGAGAGAGAGAGAGAGAGAGAGAGAGAGAGAGAGAGAGAGAGAGGGAATTTTTTTCTGGGGGGAGGGGTACTTGGCATTCCAAGAACATTTAAATACCAGAGGGGTTAGAAATGCTTGTCTCCTTTACAGCCTCAGCCTCAGGGTATATTTTGTGCCTGTCATTATATTAGTTCACTAATATAAATTAGGGAGTCTTTAATGATATTGCAAACATTTTCTATCTGAGTAAATTGGCACTACAGGCATTCTCAATGACTGATTAGTCATTCTCACGGCACTTTAATTTTTTTTTCTCATTTTATTTTTTACATCTGCTACTGAATTATCAAGTCTGAATTATAACACTAAAAAATTAAATTATAGCCATCAGTTTCTTTATTATAGCTTTCTTCCTTGTACCCCATAAATAACCTTTTAAGTTCAGTATACTC